TTCAAAGGCAAGGATTCACACTTGAATCTCTCAGACTCTAACCCCACTTCTTTCCACAATACCACCCACCATCTCCACCACAGCAGGCATCATGGTTAACATTTAGCCACACGTTTGGCTCTTTCCACCTAGGCTCGCCTGACTTAGATGGCATTGTGTCCTCTGCCAGGTGCGTTCTTCGCTCTCCAAGGCCATCAGAGGCCTCATCCCAGGGCCTTGCAGCCAGTTCTGTTTGACAAGATAGCACCAAAGAGTAACAGTGAAAACAGCTAGCAATATGGTGTCTTTATGTGCTCAGTTGTGTGTGCCAAACATGTTAAGTGGATTCTCCCATTTATGTCTCACAGCAGTGCCATGAGGTAGGCACTATTGTTTTATTACCTCACATTTTGAAGATGAGAAAATTGCAAAGATTACATAGGGTAAGGCAGCTCGTAAGTGATGGAGACAGGATTTGTTTTGACCATAGTATGTGGTGGTGTCTTTTTCCTCTTAATGCACCCTTCTGGTAATGAACCTGACACCTCAGCATCCCAAACCCAAACCTTTCCAAACTCACAACCATGCTCCATGCTCATAGTGAATTGGGTCCTTTCCCCTGTTTTTACATGACCTTACCCTTTTTTGATAAACTAACTCCTGCTGGGCAGTAGGTATTGTAGCTTAATGTGTTTTACCTTCTGGGGAAACAGATTTGTGTTTCAAGAGGAATCTCCAAAGAGGGATGGTCCTTACCCACAATGTACTGAGTAATGGTGGTGACATCAGGCACTGCCCGAATGATGATGGTCCAGCTATTTGGGGCCCCATAAGCCTTCTTCACTGAAGCATAATCTTGTTCAACATGGATATATGTTAACTTTGGTTGAGTTTAAACCATGTTCTATTGGAGGTCAAGGATTATTTTTTAATCTATTTTATTGTTTTTTTACAGAGATGAATGGAGAGGAATAGATAATTAGAAACATCAATGAGAGAGAAACATCAATCAGCTGCCTCCTTCACACTCCCTACTGGGAATGTGCCTGCAACCAAGATACATGCCTTTGACTTGAATCGAACCTGGGACCCTTCAGTCTGCAGGCTGACACTCTACCCACTGAGCCAAACCAGTTTGGACAAGGATTATTTTAATGCCTGATCTTTAAAAGGGAGTTAAAAGATGCCTTTTAAAGTTAATTAAACACACACACACACACAAAAGAGAATTTTTGCTTCTTACCCTTGAGGACCAGCTTGCATTAGGAATTTTATACCACCAATAAAGATCCAGACTTCAGCAAGTCCATGGAGCCTTGTCTGCTCTGAAAGACACCTATGGCCCAAGTCAGAACCTTCCTGGAAAATGAATTATTTCAGGGCTCTCCTGAGAGTTTCATAATTAATCTAACACTATATATTTATTCCATAAATATATTTTGTTTACAGGCAATATATTAGGTTCTTGGCTATATTTTTTACTGTTGTCACCCTATAAAAAGACTGTATTTACCTCATAATGAGTAATCCAGATAATCTCAGATTTTAACTTCTTACAAAGGTCCACAGAGTGTTCTGAATACCAATATAGTCAATTAGACAGTTATTACAATTTTTCAAAGGTGATAGTGATGAGTTCCTGAACTTGAATCAGTTTCCATGAATATATGGTGGGAAACCCTTTGCCCTCTTTCAGCCTGGAGTTTATCTCTTGTCATGTGACATGAAAATGGCATGGCCTATGTAACTTGGGTGACCTTACTTCTTTATAAATGATAAATGAACATGCTTGTTAAATATCTGGAAGACACAAAGCTGGGAATGGTGACTGGAAGCCTAATAAACTGATGAATAGTAATGATGTCAGTAAATGAGAACACTATGCTAACACCAACATGTTGAACTTAATAGGAATAAATAGTCCTGCATTTAGTTTTAAAAATTCAGTAATGTAGGTTCAGGGTAGGAGAGAGCTGTAATTTTCATATTCAAACAAACAAACAAAAAAAAAAAAAACAAAAAAAAAAAAAAACACCTGCATACGTCTCCATTAACCTAAAGCTCCACTCAATATTCTAAAATGCTTGCTAAGTCCCGGCCACCAGGTGAACTCTGTGGGATCTGACCACCAGGTGCACCTGCAAATGCAAGTTAATTGGCCAGTAATGTGCAACTCAAGAGAGAAACATTTCCCACTGACTTGATCTCATCGGGGGCAGACACAACACTCTAAGAAGGTCATAGTTGATAAAATAGCCTGTAGAAGAGGGAGACTAGACTGGTGAGTGACAGGGAAACCAGGCTGGATGGAAATATTGAGTGGCCACAGGATGTTTAGTCTAGAGACGAAAGGAGTATGAGACTTTGATGGTTGTTTTCTCGCTTTTAGGGAGCTATTGTGTGAAGACAGGAGGAGCCTTAAGCCTTTTTGGGTTATTTTGGTTCATCCAGTGAGGTGACAGTTAGAGAAGGGTGCATTCATTTTGATGTCTTCAAGTTTTCCTGCCAACTTTGATTCCCACAAGGATTCCAGCAGAAACCGGCTGACCATCTGCCACGGAGACTGCTAGCTTGTGTGGGTGATTGACATGAGTGATTTCTGAGGATCTCTTTGATGTTAATTCTTCCATTTTTATTTTTTCAAGTTAAGTGGGAAGTAACATAACTTTCTCTGTACCTTCCTTAAGCCTTCAGACACCCAAGGATTTTGCTAGCCTGCTACTAATAAGTTCATTTCCTCATCTTCCCCACCTTCACTGGCTGAGACAACCTTGACTCAGTTAATGGAACATTATAGAAAATACTCTCCTAATGTTAAAATACACTGCTGACCCATTTGGAATAGTGATGAAAACCTAGACTGTGTCACTTTCAATCACTAGATGGACATGTAAATACCAGTGGTCATCAGAACAGACAGGAAGGAGGAAAGCTTGCCTCAGTTGAGATGAATAGAGAGAGGAAATTCCTAAGATCAGAGCCCATGAGATCCATTAACACATTCAAGGCTCCATACATCTGCAGTTCAATGGGGAGGACTAATGGTGCCCTGAGCTGTGTGAGTGCTGGAGGGAGGGAGGCAGGCACCTCTCAATCCTTGCAGCTGCCCTAAAATTTACTATGGCTGTATCACTGGAGCTTCCCAGTCAAGGCCAGCATATTCCAGACACCTGCTGTGTTCTAGGTGTGCCCTGAGGTCACCATCCGGCTAAGAGGAAGATTTACCACAGCCTCAGCTGCCCATTTCTGTTGCCAACTTATGACCAAGGAATACTTGGCCAGAAAGTTGCCTTCAGTACAACATAATGTACCGTTCTAGGGGGAAAGACTGATGAAATACTTCTGCCAAAAGTGGATGTCGCCAGAAACTGCGTATTTACCTCTTTATCTCTTACCAAATATATCATTTTGGCATTATGTAGATCTGTTTAGTTAAGAAGGGTGAATCTTACTATCTGAATTTCTTGTATGCTTATATTTATAGAGGTTGACAAGTACACATAGATACAAGCCCAGTTTTAGTTATTACCATAATCAAAAATCATGTTACAGTGAGGCAACATACCTTGTTTTTAAGTTGAAGTGCTTACATGATCCTATATAATAAAAGGCTAATATGCAAATAGACTGAACAGCGGAACAACCCATCCCTACGATGTGCACTGACCACCCAAAAGCAAATGCTCAATGCAGGAGCTGTCCCCTGGTGGTCATGCATTCCCACAGGGGAAGCACTGCTCAGCCAGAAGCCCTGAGCTGGAATCACAGCTGGCAAGTGCAGAGGCAGTGGCAGGAACCTCTCGGCCTCTGTGGCAGATGTCCAACATCAGTCAGATATCCTCCAAGGGCTCCTGAACTGTGAGAGAGCACAGATTGGGCTGATGGACCCACCCCTCATGCCTCCCTCCCCCCCCCCCCCCCCCGCTCCCCCACCCCTGGAGTGAACAAATTTCATGCACCAAGCCTCTAGTGTAAAAATAATTATTTAGAATAATAACAACAGCTAAAACATAATTTCAAAATTTGTTGTATAATTTCAGAGTTAGGGAGACTTTATAGGACTGAAAATAGTTACTAACTGTGATGCAGTTATTCAGTAAGCAGGAAAAATAAGTAGGATTTTATATTACTATTTGGCAGCTCTGCCAATTATAAGAACCTTTTATTATTATAGAGGGGAAAATATAAGATAGTTCTTTTATATATAAAAGTATAACAAGAAACATCATTATTTTTCACAAAGGCTGCTACCTTATACTAATCCAATAACAATAGGTGTGCTGAGTAACCAGCGATGATAATGTTGAAAACAGTGGAAAAAGCAAGAACCAATCCCCTTTTTCCAACTCAGTTAAAGGCCCACCCACTATTGTATTTAGACATCAGTATGCTCCACGCAGAGGCTGAGGTTGTTTCCACATTATACACTCAGACCATTTCAAGGTAGTTGTTCTTTGTAGATGTAGAAGGAGCAACATTTCATAGTTGAGTTTTGTTTAGTAAACCAACTTTCATCAATTTTAATCGAAGTGTATGAACCATTTGAACATGAGGTGAGTGACAAGACACCTGAGAAGTAATACTAACATTCCAGATGTTCATTTAATTCATTCAATGAAATAATTTAACCTTCACAAGAACCCTATGAAATAGGTGTGATAGTTTTCCCACTTTCAAGAGAAGGAAACCAAGGCACAACAGGTCTTAAGAAACTTATCCATGATCCCACAACTAAGAATTGGCAGAGGAGAGATTCGAACTCAGACGGCCTGGCTGGTTTCCAAGTCCAAGTACTTAACCAAAAGGATGCACTGCCTGCTCAGTAATGGTGGGTAGGTGAAATTTACCAAGTATCTAGAGTGTACCAGGACTGTGCTAATCCCTTTGTGCATTAGCATATTAAGTTCACCAGTTGGGTCATTTGGTAAGAGGGATAATACCCTAGCTTGGATGCAGTTTCTGTTACTTGCGATTGCAGGATATCAGCAATAAGAAGTTACTGTCTTATCTTTTCCTCACAGAGGCGGGATGGTCCAAACCAGTGAGCAGTATGAATTTGTGCATCATGCTCTGTGCCTGTACGCGAGCAGACTTTCCGCAGAAACCGTCCAGTGATTCTCTGAAGATTTACCAGGCCATCAATCTCTAGGGGTGACTAATCAATTGCCCACTTGACGCTTCTAGAAGAAGCTTCCTGCGAGGAGAGGAAAGAGAAGCCCTGAAGTCAAGCTCTGGCATGGACATGGAAGATGGCAACACGGGAAAGGTTGCTGGCCCCTTGTGTGTGTGAATGCATTTGTAAACAGCTCCTAAGTTATTCTGAAGGTCCTGTACTGATGGAGGGATGATAGACTTCGCCCACAGCTAAGAAGGCTTTTGTTGTGTCTGTATTGATTATCTGCCACATGGAATGTATGTATGAAACGCCCACTGGTACATGTCATCAGATGATGACTGGAAGAGCTGCTGAAGAAATTACTATTGTGTGTTTAGATGCTTTAATGTTTGCAAAATCTGTCTTGCGAATGGACTGTCAGCTGTTAAACTGTTCCTTTTTAAGTGCTATTATCTTTCTCAGTTACCAGAATCTTGCCGCTAAAGTTGCAAGTGATTGATAAAGGTTTTTTAACAAATGAGTCTTTGCTTTTGAAAAGAAAAAAAAAATCAAAAGCAGTAACTATTTTATATGGAAATGTGTCTTGATAATATTACCTACTAAATGTGTATTTATCAGTACCTCCTATCAATCAATTACAGAGCACAATGACTGTCATTGGGTATCTATGTATTTATTCTCTATTATTGGGCATTGAGGTGGCTGCTGCTGCAGAACTCTATTCACTGTATTTGTACATTGTGAGTCACTTTACTGTAAAAAGGAAACACAGATTTGTAGCCACTCTGACGCATCAAGAACTTTAGATACTTGTCTCTCTTTTATTAGGAGTTTTTGAGTATGCTCTCTGTCTGGAGTGTCTTGCCCAATAAAAGGCAATTGCTTTGGGCATGATCACCTGTCACTTTTCCAGAGGTTCTTCTACAGGCTGCTGCCATGGATATCCTTACATTTCAGAAAGGTTTTGATCTTCACGAGACAAATAAAGCTAACAACAACAACAACAACACAAAAACTACACTCAGCAAACAATAGATGTTCTGCTCAATATGAATTTCTAATGCAGCTATGTTGACTTCGTTTCATACTGCCAATAAACGACTCTTAATACTAAATGTTGAGTTGAGTGGGTACTTTTTTCCCTCTTTGGAGAGAGGCTTTTATCTTTTGGGGGGAGCCTGCCCTGTATGGTGTGAAGGGTTTAATTTTAGTCTCCGCCTCTCCTCAGGGGAGATGACTACCTCCAGTGTAATACCCATTGTCATCACCTGAAGGATAATGACCTTGAAGTGCTATCATTATGTGGTTTTCCTTGATGGACTCCCGGCACTTCATTACAGGAACAGCACGTGTGTATGTCTTTCTAGACCCTCAGCAATCACATGGCGTGTGTTGATTCAGCAGAAACCCATCACCTGGAGAGATGTCATGTCAGAGGAGCATTTAATCACCTGAGATCACAATTCCTTTCTTCCCTCTTGAGGTTAAGAAGTGCCACAGGGATGGATGGGGGAGAAAACTTGGGAGTTTTATTCCACTCCTGAAGGCTGGGGTTTTTTTTCTACATAAAAAAAGAGAGGTAATCATAATCCCTTCTTTCTAAGGAAACAGACAAAAGGACACTGGTGTAAAACTTCCCCTAAACAATTCAATAGGAGGAAGTGCTCGTCACTGACTTTCCCCCCCCACGAAGGCACATTTCCTTCCCTGGTCTTTGCTTCTCTTATCTGGGAGAATTTTTTCCCCCAAAGCGAAGCATGAGCAGTTGTTTGGTGGAAAATGGAGGCTGAATTTTACATGGCGGTGCTGGCCTGCTTGATCTTCGGCAACTCAGGTGAGTGGGCCTGCCTCGGGGTCCTGACACGGCTCTCTGGGAGCTGGCAGGCGGGATTCTGGCTTTGAAAAGTGCCTGAAATAGGACGGAAATGGAGCCAGGTCTCCATGGCAGTTTGGCCGAAGATGATGAGGAGGGGGGATAGAAGGAGCAGGGTCTGCCCACACTGCTGAAATTTCTCTCCAAACGAAAATAAAAGGCCTCCTGCCTCAGGCAGCTTCTGAAATGGCACCTTCACAGCAGAAAGAAAGGGGTCCTGAGGAAATACTGTTGTTTTATCACAGTCTGGGCCATTCTCCACACTTTTGTCCAATTAGGTTATGATTTTGTGGTGTGTGTGTCGTGTGTGTGTGTGTGTGTGTGTGTGTGTGTGTGTGTGTGTGTGTTAAAGAAAGAAAATGTAAGCAATATAATTAAAGGGGGTGAACTGTGGTGTGTTTAATTTGGAAGTTGCTATTTGGCAGGAAGGTCTGAATATTTTCATGGGAGCGCTGGGCACATTAAAAATGGTTTCTGAGCCCAAATATCTCACTTTCTAATACTGATGTTTAACAACTGGGTATTTAATTTTCTCCTATTAAGAAATGCTGGCAGTTTAATCTGTTAATATTAAAGGGGAAATTTACAGATACTGTTACAAAATAGAAAAATAATTCTAAGACTACATGAAATTTAGTTTGTGGCCATCAGTTCTTTCATTGGTTATTGTTAGGTAGGAAGGTGTGCTTAGAAGGGTGGGAAAGCTTCTTTCATTCTGGGGTAAATGCATCCAATTTTAAAATTTTTATTTAAACTATGTAATTTATGTACACATATTTATTGCAATAATAAGTTCAGGGTTGCAAAAAAAGGGTGCCTTTTAGAGTTGGGGGTCGAAGTGGTGTAAAAAGAATAAAATTTTGAAAGGGAATTGAGCTTTTCACAATTTCAGCGCATTTAATTGGACAAAAACCTCAAGCCATGGTCTTTGGATAGTTTTCTTTTCTAAGCTTCCTGTCAGTGTTTCACAGGGGGTGTGAGGGGAGAGGAAGGTTTTCCCCCTAACTCGTGTGAAAGTAAAAGAAAGGGGGCTAAGGGTGACCTTTTGACATTGTCAGCCTTGGGGTTTTACGTTCCATGTGTTGAATCTGGGAATGGTCCCTTGAAATCAGTGCAATAGCAAAAGATAATAAGTAAGCCTTCTGTTTTCTCTGGGCTGGCGTGTGGGCGGGCAGCTTTGTTTTCGCATGGGCCTTGTCATCTGCTTGCTACATGGTGCGAGATGAGCTTTTCCATCTTCCAGAGGGATTTCAGATCGTCCACGTCCAGAAACAGCAGTGCCTTTTCGAAAACAAGGTCGTGTCCATGGGCTCGTGCGATGGGGCCGAGCGAAGCCAGCAGTGGCGGTGGACTGAGGACGCGAAGCTCCAGCACGTGCAGTCCGCGCTGTGCCTGGGTGTCTCCTCTGGGGGCCCGATCCGCGCGGCCGTCTTTGTCCCCTGCTCCCAGGCCCCCCGGTGGACCTGCTACGAGGAGATGTTCCTTGGGGTGGAAAACACCTCCCTCTTTCTGAAGAAACAAGGCCCTAAGGCAGCAGTCAGAAAGGGCAGGAAATACCTCCATAGCTGGATGAAAAGAGATGTCAACAAGGAGGGAAAATCAGTGGATGAAGGCCTTTGCTTAAATAAAGGTGAGCTATTCCTTTCAGAATCAATGCTGAACGTCCTTCTGCTAAACGACCTGTTTCGTCACATTCAAGGGAAATGTGTGTGCCCCCACCCAATTCCTAAGGAAGATTCCTAAGCTAATGGGAATGGATCATGTGGTGCCCACCAACATGGAAAACTTCTTTATCCTCATTAAAATTAACCCATCTCTCTCTATAGATAGATAGATAGATAGATAGATAGATAGATAGATAGATAGATAGATAGATATAGATATAGATAGATTTATTAATTCAACAAATATTTCTTGCGTTTCTTTGTTGTGCCAGACACTAGGCACTCTAGCTAAGCACTGTGAAGTATGAATGCAGATCTAGGCATAGACAGGTGTAATGACCAAAGCCAATGGTCAGGAAACTAAAAATTTTGCTGATGTAGACACTTCTATTCTCTGCTTATGAGGAACTATTAGAACATCAAAATGGCGCTTGAGAAGACTGGGAATATAACGAATTGTGCTTGTGCTTGTGCCTGCTACCTTATAATTGTGCTAAAGCAAGTGTTGTACCTATGTACACTCAAAAACGTTTGTGTGTGTGTTTGTGCCATAATTGTGCAAATTTTAACTCTGGTTTTTCTAGAAGTCCATCTCCCCCCCACCCCCGCATCCCAACATACATTACCAGGTATGTTCATTCAGTGGTAAACGGTAAATGGATGATTCTATCCACTTGACTCTTGAAGTGAAGTCTATCATTGGACATGTTTCGTATGAAGGTCAAAGAAGATAGTTTTTCCATGAATTACCTTCTATCTTGAAGAATTCTCCACTGCACCTGTATGTACTTTTTTGGCATCTAAATAAGTGCAGTGGGCTCTTTTAAGGTGGAGGTTGAGTGTTGTAGTCCCTATCCTTATAAAACTTGTGACTATGAGGACAAAGTAAAAATATAAAAGTCAGTTAGAAAAGACAACTTTATCGGAGAATACAAAGCTGCATAGTATTCCATTGTGTAAATGTACCACAATTTTCCTACTGATCTACTGATGGGCACTTGGGCTGTTTCCAGATCTCAGCTATTGCAAATGGCATTGTTATGAACATAGGGGTGCATATATTCTTTCTGATTGGTGTTTCTGGCTCCATAGGACATATTCCTAGAAGTGAGATCACTGGGCAGATGGCAGTTACATTTTTAAACTTTTGAGGAAACTCCACACTGTTTTTCATAGTGGTTGTACCAGTCCGCATTCCCACCAGCAGTGCACTAGAGTTCCCTTTTCTCTACATCCTTGCCAGCACTTGTTTGTTGATTCATTGATGTTAGCCATTCTCCGAGGTATGAGGAGTTACCTCATTGTTGTTTGAATTTGCATCTCTCTGATAATTAGTGACTTTGAGCATTTTTTCATATGTCTCTTGGTCATTTGTATGTTCTCTTTGGAGAAGTGTCTATTCAGGTCCTCTGCCCATTTTTATTTGTGTTGTTTGTCTTCCTATTGTTGAGTTGTATGAGTA